ACTTTATCTTCAAAGCTTACAAACCTGGTCTTCTTTCATACAAATCCACTTCAAACCCCCTTTGTGAAAAATAACAAGCATTCAATGCACCAACCTAAAACAAAGAAAAAAATAGTAATTAATGGGTATTAACTTTTTTAATTTTTCGTTAAAACAATTCTGAAGCAGTGAACTCCTTGTACCTAAATAATAATTGAAATGGCATGGCTTTATCTCTACAAATAAAATGTGCTGAAACCAAGTCTTTATATTGGTTTGCTTCAACAATATTAATAAAGTGATAAACATATTAGAAAAATACCATTTATGTAATTTGTGCACTTTTATAAGGGGGGGGGGGCAGTTTATAAAATGACAAAGTTATAAAATTGCAAACATCTCACAACTGTGTTTTGTTTTTTAAGTTCATTGATAAAATTAATATAAGCCATACGGTGGTGAAAATAATTCATTTACAGATGAGAAAAAGTTTGTTATTATTATTTTTAATAAAAACGAAACAGACTCAAAAACTGCAAATCCGCCAAAAATCGTCTGCATAACATGGCTGTGTAAAGTTAGGTGTCCACAGTTGTCTTCTCCGTATGTTAGTAACAGTTAGTCCGGGGTTTATTAATTCTTGCCTTCGACTGTGCATACGCAAACTGTCACCATGTGTCACTTGCTCTTGGGTATCCATGTTACACTTACATAAAAATACAGTAGGTCAAAGAAAAAAGTCAGCTAGTGCCCACTGCCCAACCACGATAAATAACTTCTCAAACAACATCTCAAACAAGTTGGTTATTTTTAACGGTAACAAACTAAAGACTGTTTCTGTTGTGTGTGTCTTATAAACAGCCAAGTGCGAATATCATTTTGCACTCACCAGGCCTCCACCGACCACTGCAATACGCTTCGTGTTATCCGCCATTATGCTGTGCATGAGAACTTACCATAATAAACACGAGCGTGCGTGCGTCGTGCACACATTTCTCTTCTGCAATATCGTATAATTAAAATGACGAAAGCTGAGTAAAGAAAGTAAAAATATTTGATAAATTTGATAAGTACACATGTATCCATTTACTTAATAATAAAAAACTTGATCTTAGAACGAAGTGAACGGCTATATTTCGACCAATGAAAAACAGCTTATATTTCATCCCCGAGCAAATTTTTGTACCAGCGCTGTCATTTTGGAAATCGTGATTTCTGCGTTCGTCCTTCGTTCATATATTTTATACCCCTAGTTTATAGTTTTTGTGTGTCCTTAGATAAGGAGAAATTGCACAACAATGGAGATTGGAACGGAGATAAGTCACAAAATACGGGTGAGAATTGATATACACCCTTTTCAAGGGGGTGAAAATGAATATGAAGTCGGCACTTGTTTGGGTTTGGAAATTTTTGTAGTGAATTACTAGCATTGGCACTTACTATAGTATAAATAGCAGATTGTGAATTAACTAACTAGTGACAATTATCATATGCTGATCTCTGGAAAGTAAAACATGACATTATATTAGCATTGGAGAAGATTGCATTTTCAAATGGCATTTTCACCCTTTCAAATGTACAGGATTTGCCGGTAATTGAGCAGAAATGACTGAGATTTTTCAGTTTTTAGTTTGAATTCATAAATACATCATGGTCAGCACATTGCTCGGAACACAGGCAATCAGGAACTCTTAAAATGCCTATACCTGTATCAGTATGTCTGTGAAAGTTAATATATCAAATAATGTCAAATATGTGGGCTGCATTGCAGATCTAGAACACTTGGGTTTTAAGTATTGCATTTAGTATACTTTCCTTTATTTTTGAAACTTTATTTATTAATTATGGTGGAAAAAACAGCCAAATGTGCTCCAATACATTTCAAAGTGATAGCAAGATTGTTTTTTTTCATTTTCTGTAGTCTGCTATAAAGGCCAAGCTGGTGGACCTGGGGGCCTATGTGGATGATGAACTGCCAGACTATATCATGGTTATGGTGGCTAATAAGAAAACCAAAGAACAGATGGCAGATGATCTCAGTTTATTTTTGGGAAACAACACGGAAAAATTTACATCATGGTAAGTCACATGGTTTGTTGAATTGTTTTATAAAAATATGGAGAAAAATATTAAGTTATATATGTTAACTATCAGTGTTTATAACAATTCTTTAATGCTACTGATTAACAATAACAATCATTTACTGCATTTTATTTCTCAGGCTTCACAGTTTACTGACCAAATTGAAGGCCATCACCAGTGGAAACTCTGCAGACACCAGAATGGAAGATTTGATAAAAGATGGTAAAACATGATTTAGTTAAAACATGCCTAAGGTTGACACTTACATTATGTTTACCATAGTATAAAATATTTGTTTTCATTTTTATTTTTTGTCATGATTTTGGAAAAAAAAGCTATTGGATTAAATTCAAGTGGTATGCTAGAAGTACTACAGATACTGCTGGGGTAGCACTAGCAATTTTTTTTGCTTAGCCAAATCACCACATTTTGTCAATTTGTTATCAAAATGGTTATAATTTGGCTAAAACAAGTCAAATCAAGCCCTTTTTCTTTAACCAGTTTAAGTCAGTTTTAGCATTTGGCTAAATTGGCAAGTGTTAGTGCTACCCCAGTACTGGTCGATTGTACACCCCTTCCTCATCAGGGTAATGTACATTGTACCTACTGGAATGTTGAAGTCTAGGACTTGAATTTTTAAAGTGTTATATATATTCATCAATTTGATCCCAACACTTGAAGATCTTCAGCACTTTTTTTAGACTTTGCTGCTCATGAAATGCTTCTAATTTTTTTCTGAAGAGCAACCCAAAGCCGATCCAGTAATTGTACATGAAGATGCTATCCAAGACAGAGCAAAATCACAGACAGGAGTCAGCCAGACCAAGAAAACAACAGAAATCAATGATGCTTTGAAAGAAAAGGGAAAACAAAAGAAAGAGAAAAGTGTCACATCCAACAAATCTGCAGCTCCTAAAGATCAAAAGCTGGAAGAGCCTGCAACTGATATAGTAGAGGTCACAATAAAAGATGGTATGCCACACATAACTGCATATCCCACTCTAAGCAAAAGGTTTTACATCTTCCTAACACATAATGCAAAAAAAAGCAGTATGAATTGGCGCTTAAAGTTTTTTTATAAAGATAAGTGTTAATTTTCATGCATTAATTATCTGTCTTCTTGTTTATGCACTTTTTTGTTCAATTTTATATTTAGATGAATTTCGGGAAGAAGAACCCAAAGACAGTTTGCATAAATCAACTCAAGATAAAAAACAGACCAAAGTGTCATCAAAAGTTTTGCCTACTGTTCAGAAGGCAGCCCCAGTGAGGTCTGTTACCTCTGTGGCACCAGCTAAAGTATCTGCCAAAGCTGGAGCATCCAGCAGATACACTCCAAAAACATCAAAGGTGAGCATGATATTGATATCAGAATGGGGAACATACAGGCCAGTTTAAGGTGGAGCAGTTGAAGTTATACTCATGAGTCATGGATGCACTTTCATTTATTGCCCAATTTTAATTGTAAACCTAAAAAAATATGGCTATATATGTTGAAAAGTAAAGTACTAAGTTGATGGAATGGACTTTCAGGATAGAAAACGATAATCAAGATACTATGGACATTGGCAACCCATGATGTATTTGTGACTGGAGCTAGATTCCTTTTGACATTGTCCATGTATGTTTTCAGGTCCGCCCTGTTGTTCATGCTCAGAGGCGTTCAGTGGTAGGAACAGTGGTGCATCACAGTGAGGAGGAGGAGGACGAGGAGGAGTATGATCCTCACAACCCAGCAGTGGGCAGTGTGGCCAGTGTCATCAGGGTCACTGAGAGAAAGTAAGAGCTAATATGAATATGTCTCCAAAGGAAAAAGTTTCCAAGTTGATGTGCTTATTTTGACGGATAGATTTTTGTTTATATCTCTGCACTGGTTTTATATTTACACAAAATATGTTTTTGA